GGCTATTAGGAAGTACAGTTCTGCGAGATGGGGGAGAATGAGCTACATTAGCTTTCAAGAAGGATGTGGTGGGAGAGGCAGATGTATATAAAAATATTTCAACGTCACCTTTCTGAATCCCTTTTACTCACCGGATTTCAACTGCGCGATGTGTTTACGCTCAGCAGCCATTTTTGGGGGTGAAGGAGAAGGTGTGTGTGGCCGTTCTGGGAAGCGGGTATCGCTAGGCTGCCCTATAGTTGTTAGTGTTTGTTCACCAGGAAGAGCTGCGCCTCCATTCACCCAACACACACCGAAAGTAGATCCGGCACGCCGCGCGAGGCTTCCGCGCTCTCGCAAAATAGTCCCCTCTCAGGCACCAACGTGTGCCACGCGTCGATGCGGACAAACATCCCCAGTACCCGGGCGTTTGGGGTTGACAAGAAACGATGTTTCTAAAACATGCAGTTTAAGGTGTTCGTGAATATTTTGGGTTTCAGTTTACGCTCCTCACCCCTCCTCCCTCCAAAAAGCACAACCCTTTTGCGCAGGAATACACGAGTAGAGCCTAGTAGTACGTACGCGCAGGACTGTGCTGTCAGGGAGGCTGCGATGCTATTGCTAACGCTGAAGGGGGAAAACAAGGCAATGGTGGCTTATTTTATGCAATAATTTAACTATTTATTCAGCCAACTTTTATTTGTCTGCTAAGTCCCAGACCCTGAGCTGTAATGGCGCCTGTTGTTTCTCGGTCTATCGACCTTGCAGGCAGCGAAGCTCGGATATCGCACACCATGTTTCTCTCACAACAACATATTGACGCTTACTATTAAATGCCTGAATACTACACCCGTAATCGTGTGGTTGTAAAGTGCATAAAAGTCCACTTATTTTAATCCTAAACCAGACTCATTCCAAGGAACCAACCCCCTCTCTCGGTTGTAATTTGGATTGGGAAGTCCTCCATTTCTTTTCCAAAAGCGAGCGGGCAGTAAAATGGGGGACGGGTTGTAAACAGGGAGAATGTCATGAATTAAAACCTTGTAAATTACAGGAATCCAGTGACTAATGGCGACACCAGACAAAATAGGACGTAGGTGATCTTATTTGTATATTTATGTCACACAGTCTTATCTATTTTAAAGAAACGACATACAGACTGTACAGCATATCTAGTTAAAGGTTGTGTAAAACAGTAAGGCTATATAAATTGGACAAAGTATTTTAATATGTCTGTCCACAACACTGTATTCATTACATATAATTATTATAATTTTTTCTTTCTTATCTAAATGATAAGAAATCAAAGGGAACCAGTTGAAGTTGTGCCTTATGTAGTCCCATCCTACGGCCCTAAATTAAGTAAACTTGTTTATGAGTCAGTCATGCAACATTAAAAAGGCCTGTTGAGTTTTAACCTTCTGCAACAATAGTGCTGGAAAATAGTAGTTGTGTAGTTTATGGTCTAACCCAGGGGTCTCCAAACTCGGTCCTGGTGGGCCGGTGACCTGCAGAGTTTAGCTCCAACCCTAATTAAACACACCTGAACCAGCTAATTAAGGTCTTAGGCATACTAGAAACTTCCAGCCAGATGTGTTGAGGCAAGTTGGAGCTAAACTCTGCAGGACACCAGCCCTCCAGGACCGAGTTTGGAGACCCCTGGTCTAACTAGTCTAATTCCTAAGTTCCCTAATTAGTTATCCATGTTAAATAAACACCACCAGCTGTTTTATAGTCAATGCTTGTTAAGTTCAAGAGGCTAAACTTTTTGCTTTGACTGTATTTTGCAAGTGATGCAAATGAGAGTTAAACATGAGGCTTAATAACCCAGCAACCATTAAAAAAATATAATAACAGTTTTATGGACTGTTTTTAAAGAGATTTTTTAATTTTATGTATTTTAAATACATTTGTATATGCATATAATGCACATTTACAGTGTTACATTTGTGAATGTGTGTATCCCCGAAAGTGAGTTAAATCTTACAAAATCTTTCTTAAAGGATATTCAGGATGTCCCTATTTGAAATAATAATAAAATAAATAACTAATAAATAACAAATACAAAAAAATGTAGGGTTAGTTAGCTTTAGTAATTAGCTAAGTAAACGCATTTATGTATGGCTGCACACATTGACATTACCATTATAATCACAAATTCAGATAGATTTACTCTTGTTTTAAGTCATTAGACAAAGGAAGTGTTTGAGGTTTGCCTTTGCTTTTTTTCTCTGAGCTAAAACGGTGAATTTGATACAATCTGTGTCTTTTTGTTTTCCCTTGCTAGAAGTATCCTCAGTTCAACAGTTAGTTTTAACTGCATTTGGTGATGTAACACTTGCTAAACTACTGACACAAAGTATATGTGGAGGAGAAAAGCAGTCAGATACTTAAGAACTACATGAATATAGCAGCTTTGGCTTCGAGGCTACTTAAGCAAAACTGATGCAACTTATCACACTTTTGAGTAACGGTGGTTGTGAAGTGGCTGAGTAGGCATTAAACTTCACAAGTAGGTTTAGACAGTAGCAAAAACCCACTCAAAGTGTGACTCATTTTGATTCAGAATACTAAAAAATACAAACCATAAACACCTTCTTAAAATATATTGGATTAAAGATTCTAAAATGGAAGAATGTTGTCATTTTGTGATCAGTGGCATGCAGTATGTTTTCTTGCCACTGGAGGTCAGGACTATCCTTTCAGATGATGAGCTCAGGGGCCAAACATGGGTCAAAGGTTATAAGGGTAAATAAATCAGGTTGGAGGTTTTTCCTCCTTGGATCTTCTCTAGATTCATTCAGAGCATTGTTATAGTTTCATAAAATAATAATTATTAATGAAAGCTTGTTCATTAAAAAAAATTTCACAAAGAGTAACCTCTGATAATAGTAAAAATTGGCCTTATAAAATATTTAAAGTGAGGGATACAACTCTTGAATAATGGGGAAAATGTGCACATCAACATCACCAATTCTGTATCAGAATCAAATCAGTACATAAATCTGTCCTTAATTCTATAATTCAATGTATAATACATATATCTCTATTTTGCTGATGCATTATTATTTGGTCGTACATATATGAGAGTTTTCATGGTAAGTTTATTTCAATTTAAGCAATGTGGATAATAATAATAATGTGAATAAAGTTTCCTGTTCCATTTTATTTAGACCACATTTGGACTAATATTTAATGTTAATTATTTTAAATGTCTGTTCATGAAATTCAGTGGGTCTTCTTTCTAAAGGCATCCTTATCACAAACAAGGAACAGTAACACTATAAAATGCACAGCGTTCCTGACAAGTGCAGATCCTCTAAATCAACCATATCAATTTAAAAAGAAAGAAGCACTTTCATTTCTACACTTCAGAAATATGTTGCTTGTGTGTGATCATTAACACACAGATTTATTACTATATGGGGCTTTTGGTCTATTGGCTGGGCCCGCAGAAAGACAGCAGTCCAGACCAACGAGTGTTGTCAGTCCATTAATTTCCTCTTCTCTGTTCCTGCCTCCCCATGGCATTGCTGATCTTTCACTTTCTGACATCAGCAGTTGTATTTAGTGTGTGTGCGTGTGTGTTTAGGGTCACATGTGTCTGTGTATAAAGAACTACACTGAAAGGCTTTTGTAGCTTTAGACTAAACACCCTGGACCCTCAAGAGTTTTCCACAAAGTTAACTCTCTGTGGTACAGTGTTGCCATTATTTCCCTTCACTTTCTCCCTGTTCAGAAAACTAGGAATTGCATTGTTGGAATTAAAAATCTTTAAAGTAACCAATAAATCACGTGACATTTGATAATCTTTCTCAATTTTTCCTGAGGAAGACACATGCTGAAGTGCTCTACGTTTCTTTTGCATCTATATTTTTGATGCATTATTGAAAAGTTAAATACCTGTTTTCATCCAGATGTTTATCTCACATCATTTTTACAATAAATTGATCAAATATGAACCACAGCAGAAAAATAGCCATGTTTTTATGTTTGAATTTCCTCATTTGCGGTTTTATAATGGCATAAATTATTACTTGAAAAACATCATTTGCAAATGTTTATAGTAATATTAGTAGTAATAATATAGTTATATAGTCATGTTATTATAAATAAAACGCTTATGATTTATATTTCATGTGTTCACAAAAAAAGTAATATTATGCAGAAAAGCCAACTGAGTGAGCTAAGCCTTTAAGCGCAATACTAAAGGATTAATTGTAAAGTTTCACTCAATTATAACTCTAAATATATAAATATATTAATTCATGAAAGACACTAGATTAAAGAAAAATTTGTACAAATTTGACCATTTTCCATTGTTGTTCCAATATTTTATTTTATTACATATTTATTATTTTATTTATTAGATTTCCCCCCCAAAAAAACTTTAAGTTGAGCTATTTTGGCCAAAAAAAGGAAGAAAAAAAACTTTTTTTTTTCTAAAATTAGTTACAAATACTAGACCAACATTAAGGCAGCCTTTGAACTTTTGTTTCTGTATTGAGAATAAAGACAGCCCGGTACTTGTGGAGCATTAAAGTAAAGCACACACACGAGTCAATTGACCGCTTATTCATCTTTTATTTGAAATTTTATTTCATTTTACAGAGAGTATCTCAAACCAGTTCTGTGGACTAGTACATCTTTATGTGATTCAGTTCTTGTAGAGTTTTCCTAACCTTTTAGCACGAAGCACCACTTGTTTATTGCTATGGATATCTGCCACTGTTAAGGGTCATGTTTAATTCAGCAATTTTAAAAGAACACACTTGAATCTCAAAATGCTACAAAGGAGATAAAAAAGCAAAGGGTTAATATTTAAATCTCTCATCCCCATTTTCTCCCTTCTTTCTGTATTCCTTGTTCTTTTTTATGATATTTGACCAATTAAATAACAAGACTCAAAGAGAATACGCACCACAGACTTACACCTTAGTAACCATATGCATGGAGCTAAGGCTATGCACTCTGGTGTCAAAAGATGAACTGGTTGCTTTTAATATGTAGGATGTGACATGTTCCAAGTGGTTGCATTTGGCAGGCGAGCTGCTGGTGAAATATTCAAGAATAACTGTTGCTTCTTGAAATTAATCTATTTTTCTGTCAGATGAAAGAGAAGGAGACAGGTACGGTGCTTCAGTGGGGAGTGTGAGTTGACTTTTAGCTAAGGAAATCTAGAACAGTAAGTCTAAAAACAGTTTGCATTTTACAAAATACTCAATAGGAATAAAAATGTTCTTTGTTATTCCAGAAAACAACTTTAATCACTCTTTCGCCTCAGTCTTGGGCGTCTTCAGTTTCCTATACAGAGAAAAAAAAAACACAGAAGAAAAAGAATATGATTTCCTAATGCAGAGGACGTTTTGATAGGATTTGAGTTTTTCTAAAACTGTTAGATTACCTGATGTGAAGTCAGACAGACAGAACCAATGCCACTCGGTTAGTATGAGTAAACCCACACACAAATGATGACCACAACTTACCTCAATTTGGAAATCATCATTTATCGAAGGAATAGTTCACCCAAAAATGAAAAGTTCTGAAAATGTACTCACCCTCAGACCATTCAAGATATAGATGAGTTTGTTTCTTCATTGGGACAGATTTAGAGAATTTTAGCATTACATCACTTGCTCACCAATGGATCCTCTTCAGTGAATGGGTGCCGTCAGAATGAGCATTCAAACAGCTGATAAAAAAATCACAATAATCCACGACTCCAGTCTATCAATTAAAGGCCTGTAAAGTGAAAAGCTGCATGTTTGTAGCATTACGGCGTTTTACCTTTCACTGTTTTGGACTGCTTTCACTTGTAAATGGTGCTTGATCTCTGCATATTTCTCTCCTGATGAAGATGACTTTTTCACTAGAGAAAACAGTTTTACGGATAGAGGACTCATAACGGTTTGACTTTAAAAATTTCTAAATGATGGATTTGTTTCTTACAAACACGCAGCTTTTCATTTCGCAAGATGTTAATTGACAGACAAGAGTCGTGTGGATTACTTGTGGATTATTGTGATGTTTTTATCAGCTGTTTGCACTCTCATTCTGACGGCACCCATTCACTGCTGAAGATCCACTGGTGAGCAGGCAATGTAATGCTAAATTTCTTCAAATCTGTTCTGATGAAGAAACAAATCTACATCTTGGACGGCCTGAGAGTGAGGAAAGTTTCAGCAAATTTTCATTTTTGGGTGAAATATTCCTTTAAACGCGACAACATCCTTTAGAATAAATGTCAGGAACAGATAGAAGAGTGCATTTATATCCTTACATTTACGTCTCAAAGGAAATCAATTGAATTTTTAATTAATTAATTTCAAGGTAAACTGTGTATTAAAAAAACAAAACTTTCTTCTATCCCAACTTTGTGGATAGACTGACCAATGTGTTTATTTGATCAATGAATGTTCAGGAAACCTGTTTGAAAACTGATTATTTTTGCAACTGGGTACACTCATAAAGCACACTTAAAAAATCTTTTAGCTGTGATCCATAATATCAAAATCATGTCAAATGCACTGAACATTCTGGTAAACTTTGTTACCAATTAGTGCTGGGCGGTATACCGGTTCATACCGAATACTGGTGTTTATTTTTGTTATGATATGAATTTTTAAACATGCACTTTTTTGTTTGTTGTTTTTTTAGTTTGTTACTCAGACGCAGGCAGTGCGCTGCATGACAAAAAAGTAATCTAGCCAAAACAACCACATAGCCGCTCTTTAGTGTAGATGTATGTTGATTTTATCAGACGATGCCGCGATTATAAATGAGAGTGACTCCTGGTTAACATGTATTAAAAGGGGTCGTGTTTAGTCACTATTCCTTTTTCAATCAGTAGAAAATATGGTTAACACCCGGTCATGCATGAAAAAAAATACCGTCATGTACAGAGAAACCAAAAATAATTTGGAAAAATACCGTGATATAAATTTTTGGTCATACCGCCCAGCACTATTACCAATCATTCACAATATAATAAATGTTTTTTTTTTTTTGTATAGTCTCACATTAAGAGATGGATGAATAAATCTAGATCTGATGGTGACGAGCACACAAGCACACACTGCACTCTTCAAACTCTCATACCCTTTACTCTAACACTCTCGCTCTGCCCTCGGATGGACAGGAAAGAGGGGGCGGAAGTTCTCCATGATGACACACTGACAGATGAGCGTGAGACACAGATCTGTGCATGTGTGCGAGTGAGGGTTTAGGCACATGCAGGTGTATGAGAAGCATGCAAAGGGATATATGAAAAGATTATTAGATACTGGTCAATAAAATGTAATTCATGTTACAGAGTGCTGAACAATCTCGATTTGTAATGTTTCCTTATTCAATTTGTCACACAAAAATGAGAAAAGCAAGGAGAAAAAAAGGACAAATTATATTACCATGGAAATACACTGATTGTGACTATTCAACACTATCTACCATTATCTAAAGGTCAAAGATTCATGATTACAAGCTGGTTTACAGTAGTTAATTTGACGCAACAACACATTTAATACAAAAGAACAAGGAATATTATCCTTTAAGTTGCATTATTTTTCAAGCAATATTATACCCTCAAAATCAAACACTATCAGCCCATCTGAACTTTACATGAATACCACCAATTCACACCCAGTCATTTTAGTACAAACCTTCCAGTATACACTTTACCACAACATGCCTGTAACTAGGTCATTCTTTCCCACCTCACATGTCTGCTCTTTCATTCTCGTTCACACAACAAATGTTCTATGAAAATAATTTACATGTCCTGGAGGATGATTGAAATAGTCTCAGAGCATTTTGAGAAAGGGGAGACAATTAATGTAAAAAGTACATTATCAGTTTAGCAACTTGATATGCAATATGCAATATTAAATAACCAATGCTGAACTAAAAGTAGACATACACTTCTGTTCAAAAGTTTGGGGTCAGTAAGATTTATCTTTTATTTATTTAAAGAAAACACTTTTATTCAGTAAGGATGCATTAAATTGATCAAAAATAACAGCAAATGACATTTAAAAAGTTACAAAGGATTTCTATTTCAAATAAATGTTTCTTGAGCACCAAATCAGCATATTAGAATGATTTCTGAAGGATCATGTGACACTAAAGACTGAAAAAATGGCTGCTGAAAATTTAAAGGGGTCATATGATGCAATTTCAAGTTTTCCTTTCTCTTTGGAGTGTTACAAGCTCTTGGTGCATAAAGAAGATCTGTAAAGTTGCAAAGACTAAAGTCTCAAATCCAAATAGATATTCTTTATAAAAGTTAAGAGTCAACCACGCCTACCTAAAACGGCTCGTTCCAACACGCCCCCACATGTCTACGTCACTATGTGGAAATATTAGCATAATGCCGCCCAAATGTGCACGCAAAGAAAGAAGGCGTGGTTTCAGGAACAGCAGTAGTGTTGATGCAGCCATGTCAGGGAGACGCTGTGTGTTTCAGTGCAAAAGCAAAAGCACTTTATTTGGCCTTCCGGAAGTAGATGCAATTAGGAATCATTGGTTAAGATTTATTTACAACAGAACAGCAAAACCCAGATGTTCGAATTTGTGCAACGCATTTTATGGACGAGTACATGGTACAAGGCTGGCTGTGCACAAAGGCTATTTAAAAAAAAAAAAAAGGGTCAATTCCGACTTTGCTATGACAATCTGGCACTTCTGAATCAGTCATCACTGTGTCTGTCACGCGACTCTGTTGCCCTTTCGGGCTTGAACTGATGGTAAAACTAACGACATTATTAACTGTCTTGATATTTACTTTGAAAGCTGAAGCTCGCGATAATGGTAACGCGTACATTTCCGACGCGTGCTTGTGGTGTTCGGCCAATCACAATGCACTGGGTCAGCTGGCCAATCAGAGCAGACTGCGCTTGTCAAAGGAGGGGGCTTTGTTGAAAACGACGTGTTTGAGAGAGGCGGGGCATAGAGGACCTACAATAATGTACAGTATTTGAAAAATAATGTGTTTTTTGAACATTAAAGCATGTCAACATATTCTGTTACACCAAATAATGATCTTTAAAATAGCTTGAAAGATCAAAGACAATATAATATATATATTTAATATAACTCCGACTGGATTCGTCTGAAAAAAGAAAGTCATATACACCTAGGATGACTTGAGGGTGAGGATTTTATGGACTAATTTTCATTTTTGGGTGAACTAACCCTTTAAGGCCATGTAGACATTCTCTCTATCTTCTCGAATGGCCAAACATTCATACGGTCTTACTGCAAATGCGACACAATGGTATTAGCAACCAAAAAGCGTTAGCGCACCTCCTCTGGCTTGGTCTCTCCATTTGCAGTGGGCGCAGATTCTTTCTCCTCTTTCTTTCCTTTGGCTCCAACCTTCTTCTCCTTTACCGCTTTGTCATTGGATGGCTTCTGTGCAGAAAACACAAATGGGACAACGAGTTAAATAATTCTGTAATAATAATTTTGTAATAATTGCTCCAAAATACACCGGCCAGCACCAGATCGTGCCAGTTCTCTCTACTGCAAAAATGCTACTAAATTGGCTACTAAAAAATGCAATGCAAAGCACATGCAAAAAACATGCTAAAATGAGAAAAAGAAAAGAAAGCTGTTACCTTGGCAGCTGGTTTTTTGGCTTTTGGTTCAGGTTTAGGAAGAGCTGGTTTCTATGGGTTGAAAGAAGACAACAGGATGAATGAAGTTAAAAACAGTGTATGGATGTCATTACAGATAATGCAAAGGCCACAGTGAGTGGTAAATTAATGTATGACACAATAATAAAGTAGTTATGTATAAGTTCAATTAAAACAAAGACATCTAAATTGTATAACTGAATAATACATAGACACTATCGATGTGTTTCTAGTTTAGGATACCTAGAGGGCATGTGAAAGCAGTATATTGCTCACGTTTATGACAAACCCTTTCCTAGAACTGGTTTCCACCACTTTTTAACCTTACTAGGGAATATGCATTTGACATCTGGTCATATGGAAATGAAAGAAAAGACACTCACTGAGGAAAGACGCTCTGACCTCCGAGTGGGCTAAGAGAAGAAACATTGAAAGCGTGCAGAAAGTTTATCAAATTTGCAATAGCTAAACCATGTTCATTCAATTTTGTTTTATTTTAATGGTATCAGGAATGTCAGTCAAACAAAAATGTACATAAAATGATATTTACAAGGGTTAAACTGCACTGTTAACAGTTCTACATTTGAAAAAGAAATGAATGTGAATGGTAGTTTACCTCCTGCTTTGTAACTTTGGTGGCGTCTTTGGCCTCCGTTCCCTCGGGTGACTGTACAGACAAAACAAACATGCAAAATTTGTACATACAGACATTTCTTCACACAAATACATTTTTTTTTCATGTGACAGGTACAGATTAAATACGATTCTGAAAAGACTTCTGAGACAAAGTACTTATCACCCTTTAGATGCTAACAGGTTATTTTAAACTGATAAAGTGACACTTACAAAGATAACTCTAATTCATCTCAGTTTATAGACAATGTTCAGTAGCTTCTGTTTGTCAAGACTCCACTGGTATAATCAGATACACCACTTTGGTCACAGATGTTACATAGGCCTATGGTGTTTTAGGTAATTTGGCTCTGGTAGTTTGTCATTTTGTTCATTAATGCTCCTGGCATAATTTAATGTGCAACATCTACACTCTCAAATAAACTGGTTGCCAATAAAAATCTGTATTTATTACTTTTTATAATATACATGGCAGAAAAACAATTAAATAATATCATTTATTTTTCTCAATTTTTACACAAACTATAATATTAGCTCCATTTGTCAAACTAAATCATTATTCAGTCACTGTTGCTTAAGAAAGTAATAAAAAAAATATGTATTTTTTCATTTATGGGAAATATGCAAGCTTATCAGCAACTACAAACCAAAATATTGTTCCAAACTAGCTAGCCCATAAGGAGGACAGCTTAATTTAGGCCTGTTATTTTATTTCAATACATTTTGACTAATTACATTTTATTTAATGTTTATAAAAGGGAAACTACATTTTAAATCAATAGGCTACTATAAGCTGAATAGAAAACAAAATCCCTCATATAATTTGACTATCTATGGTTGAACTTTTTATGAATAGTAGACACCTAATTTTACACACCAGCTGTTGAAAAAGAAACATTTATTTTTTTTATTATTACAATTTTCTATTTCTTTTTTGGTCCATATTGGAAAGCGTCCATTATTTGTTTAGCCTCACTAATTGAAGAGACACTCCCCCTAGAGCAACCCACGCTTCAGTGCCTCTATCAACATATCTGGCTGATAAAACAGGAGTGCAATCTCAATGGATTTTTTATTTCTGGGGGGGGGGGAATAATAATAATTAAAAAAAAAAAAAAAAACACCCCCACATCCATTTTATTTTATTGGAATTTTCTAATGGATTTCCATTTTATATACCTTCACAGTAATCAGAGACAAGTTTCATGGACTCATTGTGGTAAAGATGCACATTTGAGAGAATAAAGCTTAGTTGTCCTACAAGCAACTTTATTTGTATACATTTTGCGTAAAATAAATAACATAATAAACCCCCACAATTTTAAGCATTATCCGACGCCCCCCGCTGATGTTGGATGGTGAAGCTCGGTGGGCTGTGAATCATCACCAATAAAGCATCATTTGACTATTTTTATAAATGAAACGTACTGTTATATTAGTATTATTATTTGTTAGTCTTTTTTTCTCTATGAAGTCTACAGTTCAACGGTGTTTTTTTTTTGTCTAGCCTAGAAAGAGTTGAGTGTGACTGTCTCAGCGCTCGGTTACATACGGGTCTGCCGCTCCGCAATGGGGGTGGAGGAAGCGCCTATCGGATCAAACATGGCTATACAAAAATAACGAGGACCTCTATCGATCGACGAAAATGAGCTAATAAAAAACAAACATCTTAAAATGGAGGTTAGTGAGTATCGGACGCATTCAGCGAGAGCAGAGCGCTCGGTTTTGATTCTAACCGAGAGCGACTGAAGCATCACCGCAGTGACATTCAGCACAAGTGCGCACAAAGTGGCGACTTCACTGCAAAAGAGGCATCGGGTTATTAAACCGCCAACTATCATGGAGGAAATCAGCAAGTGTGACGATGATAGAATGCAAAGACGGCCGAACGTTCCATTGCTTTTGCAGGATTCCATAATCCAGTCCGCGGATTAGGATAGAACGCTTTTAAAAACTTGATCCTCGTTTTACCTGATGGACGCTGCGTACGTTCTCGTCGTTGAAACGCGAGCCGCTATTTCTTAAAAGAAAATAGGGGAAAATCAAGGGTATGTGAGGATATTAAAGTATAAACTGACTTACCTTCCTCTTGGGCATTTTTACCAAATTTCCTGTTACGTGTATTATTAAATTAGAAAAGCCAGTATGAACCTGTGAGGTGGGGGAGTGAGTTACACTACCACCGAATACAGGATCAATATCTAAAACACCTCTGGTAATAACATGTTAATATTATGCAGACCTTAGACTCTACCCTCGTCTTTGTCCATTGGTCAGTTCGGTCCACACTTAACCGCCATTCCTCAAAGCGATTGGTCTGTGAGGCAAATATGTTAATATAACGTGCTCAGACATTGGTTTGAATTTAGGAAAGTTCTTCAGCATGTCGCCCTCATTGGTTACGCGCTCTCTGTATGCAAATGAGAGCGCTTTGTATTGGTTGGGTTTAAAGATCCGCGTGAGAGGGGGATAGGTGACGACAAACCAATCCAGGCTTGACACCACAAGCTCGGCTGTATGGGAAACGTATTCGCGGCCTCAAAAGAAATGCAACCATACACTGAAAAAGAGAAAAAGTGTCGATTAATGTGCTAAGTAACATATCGAATAATAGAATAACATTTACTTACCTCAGCTGACGCCTCTACTTCAGTATCAGTGTTAAATGAGCATGAGAATTCAGGAAATGAATTTTAAAACTGGAATATTACTACTTTAAGTTATTAATGAAATACAGTAAATCTCACCGAAAGGTCACAGAAGAGGTCACATTTCACCCCAAAATCAAATGAGAAAATGACCTTAAACCTTAAATTGCCTTAAAATGACTGTAATACACAACACCAATCATTTCCGTATTTAAATAAGCATAAATTAAAAGTTGTACAATAAATACTACCATGATTAATAAATAACAATAATTAATATATGTGGCAAAAATATCTTCATGGTCGATTCATTATTTCTATAGGCCTATATATCAGAGGTGCCCAAACTTATAATACGAAGGGCCAAAAATCAAACTTGATTGAGGGCCATTTTGCATTATATCCAATTATATTATATAAAATATTAAATAGAAAATGTAAATACATTTTTTGATTTGACATCATTTTAACCAATTTTAGTAATATTGTTTTTTAACATTTCAATGCAAAAATAGAACAAAAAATGTTAAAACAAAAATATAAACTATAATTGAATATATGCTTCAATGGCATGTTTTTTCCCCCTATTTTGCCCCTTCTCTTGTGTAATGACATAGTGGGCTAAATCAAAGTTTATCATGGCCAACCTTGGCCCACAGGCCTGGTTTGGGCATATATGGCAAAACATCATTGTGGGTTAAATGTGACAATTTTCTTGACAGGTTTCATGAGATTCACACTATAAAACTATAATTGGCTCATCATTGATATAACTGATTCACACGTGACGGTCATGTGATTTCAAGGTTAAATGCATAGAACCATTTGCCCACACACAATAGCATCCCTCCACAATGACCGCACAATGGCCACATCTCTGCCACAACCTTACAATGGATGGCATTCTACAGTAACTTGACAATGGTTAACATTCTACCATGCTTCACAACACACATGTACCTCTGGAAGCTTGCTGCCACTCCAGAGAAGACAATCAGAGATTTCTTGTTAATGACAGAGGATGTTCACGTAGCAAACATAAATTTCTAGGTCACAAACATCTATGGATCTGATTCTGGAGATCACTCCATACACAATGCCATGTGCTGACTAATGGTTATGCATATTCCAGTGTGTATGAAATTGATGACATCTCTCTTTCAAAAGCTTGTGGAAAAAAAACTGTGGAAAAAAACTGTATTTGAATGATCATTGAGGATCACTATTTCAAATGCTATACAATACAAAGTCAGATAAACAAATAACACAAAAAAAAATCAACCTCAAGTCATTGTAATACCATAAAATAATATAACTTGCTTTCACAATGAACGATTGTAGTGCTACAGCAACCTGTTGCAGTGCTTTGGAAAATTGATTGATGGGTGAGCTTTAAAATCAGATATTAAAATGTTAATTCACAGATCTCAGTCAATTGTCAGTGAGAATTTGGACAGAACAATAAACTCACCAACATTTTAAATGCACAGTGAGTACTAGACTAGTGCCAGATTTTGTTCTTTTAAAAATGTTGAGTAATGGTGGCCATGGGATGAAAATTCTGGGAGTCTTTTGATATTTAAACATAGTTAAAGGGGTCATATGATGCTGCTAAAAAGAACATTATTTTGTGTATTTGGTGTAATGAAATGTATTTATGCGGTTTAAGGTTAAAAAAACACATTATTTTCCACATACTGTAAATTCTTGTTTCTCCTCTATGCCCCGCCTTTCTGAAACGCGTCGATTTTTACAAAGCTCATCGTTCTAA